TGCCAATAACTATTGATAAACACCAGGGAATTGATGAACTGGAACTCATGCTTAGAAGGAATCAATTTAGTGCTTTGAGAATACAACCAGAGGTTACCACTAACAAAGTGGTAAGGGGCACTAGTCCAACCAAGCAGCCTCCATGATCTTTGGACCATGGAACATTAGAGGGCTGAATAAGCCCTTCAAGCAGAAGGAATTCAAATCCTTTCTACTTATGAATAAAGTGGCTCTTGTGGGTTGTCTGGAGACAAAAGTTAAGGCTAGAAGAGCAGGTAAGATTCAAAGTAAGTTAGGGGCAGAGTGGCAGGTTTACTATGATTATGTAGGCTGCCCAAATGGAAGAATTGCTGGAAACAACAACAGGTGAAAGTTGATATCCAGTTTTCAAATCCTCAGATTGTTCACTGTAAGGTAAAAGATAAGGGCTCCCAATTTGCATGCTATGCAACTTTCGTATATGGATACAACACCATAGATGGAAGGAAAGATATTTGGAGACAAGTGAGATCAATCAATAGTATGATGGTAGATCCTTGGATTATTCTTGGAGATTTTAACACCATATTATCTATTAATGACAGAATTAATAGAGCACCAGTTCAACAGATTGAAACACAAGATTTTCGAGACTGTGTGGATGAGGTTGGGCTTGGTCAGATCCGAAGAAAAGGATGCCAATACTCTTGGTGTAACAAGAGGGATCCTGGAGACGGGATCTATAGCCTGATAGACTGGGCATTTGGCAATGCCCAATGGATTAGCATATATAGTAGTATAGAAGCACATTATTTAAACGCTAGTTGTTAAGACCACTCTACTATTACTACTTACTACTAATACTGTCAGATAAAATCTCCCAAAACCATTCAAACTCCTCAATGTTCTATTGCAGCAACAATCATTCAAAGAAGTGGTGTAGTCTGTATGGGAACCAATGTACCTGGGTATGCTATGTATGGAGTATGTAAGAAGTTAAAGCAAATAGAACTTGTTGTGAAGAAGATGAACCAAGAGATGAATAAGCTGGATCAAAAAATTGGAGACCTACAAGCAAAGCTCAAAGATACTCAGGAAGAACTGGAAGCAGACCTCTATAATGCTCAATTGATCATGGAAGAGAAAGAGTTAATGCTGGAATTGGAGAAATTGGCAAACATTCAAGAGAGAGTCCTTAGACAGAATTACAGAGCTGTTTGGATCATACATAGGGATTCAAACTCTAAGTTCTTCTATGCACAACTCAAAGCTAGGCATTCCAGGAACAACATTGCAACTATATGCAATGAGCATAGAGTAAAACTAACAGATCCCAAGCAGGTGCAGCAAGAATTCATATCATTTTTTCAAAAGCTGATGGGAAGCAGAGCACAAAAACTACCATGTTTAAACACTCACATTGCCAAGGATGGTCCTTGCTTTCACAGGGATCAACAACAGCAGCTGATTCAACATATCACAAGGTTGGATATTCTTCAAGCACTGAGAGAGTTACCAAATGATAAGGCTCCAGGGGTGGATGGATTCAATGCAGAATTTTATAAAGAATACTGGAATGTAATAGGGGAGGAAGTAAGTGCAGCTGTTTTAAAATTCTTTGAATCTGGGAAAATTCTAAGAGAGGCTAACTACACTACTCTTACCCTAGTGCCAAAGGTGACAAATCCTACTTATGTGAAGGAATACAAGCCCATAGCATGTTGTACAACTTTATATAATCTTATAGCAAGAATTCTCACTATCATGCTCAAAATGGTAGTTGATCAAATAGTTGGAGCTTCACAATCAACATTTATAGCAGGAAGGAGTATCCTAGATAATGTTATTGTGGCACATGAGCTTGTCAAAGGATATACATAAAAAGGAATCTCTCCTACATGTATTATCAAAGTTGATATAAAAAGGCATATGACTCAATGGAATGGGACTTCCTTAAAGCTATTCTGCTAGAGTTTGGATTTCTTGAAAAATTTGTTGGGTGGATCATAGAGTGTGTGACTACTGTGAGCTATTCCATTCTAATAAATGGTGGGATCACTCCAAAGTTTATGGAAAAGAAGGGACTGAGACAGGGTGACCCCATGTCCCCATATCTATTTATCTTAGTCATGGCATACCTCAACAGATCATTAAAGCAGCTGCAGCATAACCCGAACTTCAATTATCACCCCAGATGTAGTAGTTAGAAGCTGGTGCGTATTTGCTTTTCTGATGACTTGCTTATGTGTTGCAGGGCTGATAGAATTTCCATACAATTGATGATTCAAGCTTTCAACCATTTCTCTAGTTTGTCTAGCTTAAAGGCAAATTTGGACAAAAGTTCACTATACACCTCTGGTGTTTCACAAGTATTAAAAGATCAGATCCTGGATGAAATGCAGTTTGTATTAGGTGAGCTGTCATTCAAATATTTGGGTGTACTCCTCTCATCCAAGAAGATCACCATCCAACAATGCATGCCAATTGTGGAGAAAATGATATACAGGATCAGGTGTTGGACTACCAAATTCCTATCTTATAGTGGAAGAGTACAACTGATCAAGAGTGTTCTCTTTGAAATGCAAACATATTGGGCTCAGATCTTTGTGTTAGCAAAGAAAGTTATACAACTAATCACCAGCATTTGTAGAACCTTTCTATGAACTGGGAGTTGTGAAGCCTCAAGGAAAGCATTGATCTCATGGGAATCACTATGTATGCCAAGGGTTGCAGGAGGTCTCAAGATAATAGACTTTAATCTCTAGAATAAAGCAGCCATCTGCAAGTTATTGTGGGCAATTACCTCAAGAAAAGAATCGTTGTGGGTGCAATGAATACATGGTTACTATATAAAGAACAAGGATCTAGCTACTATAAAGACCCCCTCACAAGCATGCTGGTTCGTAAGGAAAATATTTGATGCAAGAAGTTGGTTTGAAGATATGGACTTCATGGTGGAATTGCAAAAATGCAGCAATGACGGTGGCTTTAGCATTAAGAAAGCTTACTTATCTTTCCAGCCACAATATCCGAAGGTACCATGGAAACACCTCACTATGGGGGTAAGACAGTTACCCAGACATCAATTCATTTTATGGCTAGCCATTAGACAACGACTAGCCACTGTTGACAGATTAGAGAAATGGGGGATTAATGTCCCCAAGGATTGTGTGCTATGTTCAATGGGAGTTGCAGAAACATTAGCACATTTGTTCTTTGAATGTAGCTATGCAAGACACATATGGACCTCCTTGCTAAGGTGGATGGGTGAAAGTAGACAACCTAAGGCATGGACTGAGGAAGTGAACTGGATGTCCAAGAGAAGTCGAGGAAGCAGAGCTAGAGTAGAAATACTGGCATGACTGTTTGCTACAAGTGTTTATCACATATGGAGCGAACGAAATGCTAGAATATTCCAGAATGAAAGGCATGAAAGTTACCCTAGACTTAAAGAAATTGTTCTCCAATTACACATCAAAGGGCAGAATTACAAGAAATGGAGGAAGATATTAGAAGGGTTAAACAGTTATCCTAGCTAAGAGCAGATAGTTTGTTTGTAAATACAAATAGTGAATACTCTTAGATAGGTAGTAATAAAGTTAGTTAGTTCTAAAGTCCAAACGAAACTAGCCGATGTACATATATATCATTGGTTGAACAAAAAAAAAATACCTTAATATGGAAAGTACGACAATAAAGAACAAGGTAAAGTGGCAAATTTTAGGAGACTTCCCAAGAGTTGACCTTATATAGACGAAAACGACCAAAACATTACCTTTCCACAGCAAATTGAAGTAATTTAAACCTAATTATATCGGCTACGCGTATTAATACCTTCTAACACAACGACTAACAATGTTTATTAGTACCATTAAATCTCTGGACGTAAGCATGAGATAAGTTTTATTAATTATGGATAGCTTACTGTTTAATCTAATACTCAACTTAGTTCTTCATTGACACCATTTGCAGTCAATACAAAATAAACCTAGCTAGACTTCGTGAATAAAACATATTCTCATGAAAATAGGACAATACCAATTAGGATTGTGGTGGAGTGATAAGTATTCTTTTATCCTTAACTCCCAAATGTGGAACTTCTCATCGCGAATCCGAATTCAATTGGGCCCCAATGTTGGTGCCGACACCAGGCGGGAAACCAAAAAAAGAAAACAGGACAGTATTAGAGTATCAGACATCCAATATTGCAAGATTATCTCAAAATAAAAATAATAATCGACAATCATATCAGTTATGCAAGAATTTGAGGAGAAAGATACTTGCAATATACATTTCCATTGATGAAAGATTAGTTTTACAGGCCACTGGCGTTCAATAATGACGGTGAAAATTTACATAGCTTTCTCCACAGAAAAAATTCAGGAAAATCATGTGAGATTTAAAAATGGGAAGATCGACTGTATCAGCTCGATTCGTTTGATGATGTCTGTAAACACAATATTTCCACGTACCTAGCAGCAGCAGGAGCCTCCTCGGAAAGTAGCAGCAGCGCAGATATAAGAACTAGAGCAGGTAAGTAACAGGCCACCCGAAAAGTCATCATCCAGCTGAACTCGACTTTCATCCTAATTACAAACTGTAGAAGGGCAGCCCGGTACACTAAGTTCTTGCTATGCAAGAGGTCTGGAGAAGGGCCGGACCACAAGGGTCTATTGTACGCAGTCTTACCCTGCATTTCTACAAGAGGCTATTTCCACGGCTTGAACTCGTTACCTCCCGGCCACATGGCAGGCAGCAATTTTACCAGTTACGCCAAGGCTCCCCTTCCTAATAAAAACTGTAGAATTAATCTATTAATTACCACACAAAAAAAAATGTTTAGCACATTAAAGAAATACTCACTGTACGGATCGGTCACTATTGATGCCAGAATATTTCAGGAAAAGCAGGCACGGAATGTTCTTCTGCTAGTGTTTCTCTACATCGTATCCCAGGAAATCAGATATTAACTACAAATAACATTCAGTAGAAACTATCAAATTACAGGGGGCAGAAAAAACTCTTGAAATGTACAGATTCTAAGCATGAATAAAATAGATCTAAATCTGGACAACATCTGAAATGTCAATAGGAGTGAGGAATAACCTATACATCATAAGAGTTAGACAAGAAGGATCAAGCAATCATTTCTTTGTAAATGTTCCATTGTGTTCAACAAACTCCCATGAAGGTCGAACAGCATCAGAGAGAGATCTTCCACATTCAATAGTTCTTTTCAGCCAACTGATCTTGTTAGCAAGTTCCTCCAAATCCAAAATTGCTGCTTCCACTGAGTCAGACTCCATCGAATTTAGTCGAATTTCACCACTGGTTTTAAACTTCTTCAAAGGACAATGAAAATACTTTAGGTCCTTATCAGTTGGCCCTGCACTTTTTGCAGCAACTCCAATAGGTGAAACAGAGTCACTACCAGACCAAATACTTTGCTTTGATGTAGTTGCGGCCTCTTTTGAATCGGCAGCATTCGGAGGTTGTTCCATTAACCCTTTGGATTTAAAGCCCCTTTTTTCATCTAAGGCTGGTAGAGATTTTGAAAATGAATGAGTAGAGGAAGACGAATATGATGTGGTTTGATTCAATGTGTCTTTTGTTCTGTTTACAGCCTCTGTTGAATCATCAACACTTAAAGAATGTTGTACAAACTCTGTAGTTTTGAGGTCCCTCTTTTCATTTGGTAGTGAGTTACCAGATAAACGAGTAGACAAAGATGAGTTTGATGACGATCCAGTTGTAGCCTGGCTGTCCCTTCTACCCTTACACATAGCATGTCCTATACTTGATGGAACATCAAAAGGAGCTGCAATCATAATTACAAGCAGAAATTAAAATACTATGATGAAGAAATCGTTTCAGGAACATAATTCTTAGTAAACAGAAAATGGAGATGTGACAATTTTAGTTGGAATGCATACAAACTGCGGTTCTAGGAAACAATATGCAGCTTGCAAGCAAATGAAAATAGAACTTCCTGACAATGATATAACTAGATCCGGAGATTGCTAACTCTAAAAGCTATATGAATGTAGAAAGAGACTCACATTATTAGTCAGTTTCTTCTGGGAAACGTGCACAAAGCCGATCAAGGTAAAAACTTACACGTACCTGGTGTTTTTACACCAAAATATCAGCTCATGGTTAAGTGATTTAATAAAGTGAGAATCGATATATATATATATATCATTGTGAAGTGAAAAGAAGTCTATGTGCAAATACATGTCACGGATCTTCTTTTTTTTTTAATTGGTAACACGTCAGGCATCTGCCGGTTTGGTGTTAAACACCCTGTGTGGATAGAATTTTACCGCCGGTAAATGCACAGTGCCGCTTTCTTTTACCAGTGCAACCATGTAGCCAAAGGAGATAAGAGTAATAACAATACTTAACAACCTATGGAAAAGGAAGAAATTGTAATTAGTCTAAGAACTATAGATTGAACCATGACTTTGTGAGAAAGCTAGTGAGGATGTCCTTCTAGAAGTCAAGGAAAGATAAATTCATAGAGCACAACTGTTTGAAGACTGGCTGCAGTATCACATGGTTATTGGTAAAGCACTAAGGGGTCATTTGGTTCAGAAACATAGCATTAAACAAATGTTAGATCTTATGTGAAGATTAAATCTCCTTCCTACCAACCAAACGACCACTACGGTATCAAAAAAAGTTGAAAGACATTATAGATTATTGGAAACGCACAGGTGCAACAAATACAAGAGCTCCACCAGGCAATCCATAACCAGAAAGGAGGGCCAAGCCATTCATGTTGCATATACAAATACTTCTGAGGGAGTATTAGCCAGTATCATTAACTACAGAAGCAACAGTTGTATCCAACAAACAACACAGCAATCTCAGAAGCTCTAGGAGCAAAACCATACTGCGAATAGACCACAGAGGTCTATTCACTACCATCCCTTGTCATTCCGATCTCTTATGTGTTTTCACGTTCATGGGTATAGCAAAAAGATTTTGTCAAACAGACAATTAATAAGTTAGTATCGCACTATCATTACCTTGACTAACAGGTTTAAGTAGCCGAGCATATCGGCGACGATTTTCACCATCCTGCAGTGGCCAAAAAAACAAGTACAGTAAGAAAAAATAAGCATCAGAGCAATGAGCATACAGCAGAATACAGATCAAATAACATAATTCCAACATAACGGTTAATGGTTAATATGCAATAATGTTATTCTTGAAAGAACTCCTTGAGCAAAAAGCAACCATGCACAAAACAGCTCATTTTTTGCTGGGGAGGGGGGCAGCAGAGGGGGCTGGCAAAGAAGATCAAGGATCAGCAAGATATCATGAGGTATGACAAGAAGAGAGGAGGAACCAGAGATGAGAAGAATCAAATGATGATGAAAAGAACTACGAGAAGGTGTGAATTACAGAAGTAATTCAGACTATTGCAAGACAAAATAGACCATCTAGAAGAGTGATGAACTTTAACCAAGAGACTGTTATATGATGTTACAATACGAATGTCAAGCACACTGTTGTTCTGCAAAGTTACCAATCCTTCAGTAAGCAATGCTCATAGAATATCAAACATTCACCTATGACTCAATGTCATATCAGTTAGGCTCAGCTACAGGAATCCTCTATGTCTATTCTGCTCTATTCAAGTCCATTTCATATGAATAATAAATTATTTTCCTTTTAAGACAAACTAGGGATTCTTTTAATGCCACATTATCTTTCCCTCATCTCTACACAGATAACAAGTTTAATCTCAACTAGTTGAGATAATAAAAGTTAAAGGAAATTACCAAGGATGCAGGCACAGCCCAACCAAATTCTGGAGACCAATCCACCGATGGGCGCAGATCCTTGACGAAGACTTCGTAAGTTGCACCTTCACCCAATGGAGGTGGCACCAACTCAATCTAAACAAAAAACATAAAAAAGTATTATCATACAAATCATTGGCAGAACTACAAAACTACCATGCATAGTCAGTTGAAGATGGGTCTTCAAGGAAAAATTTTAAGTGCACAACTAAAGTTGCTTTTCAATATCCCATATTAATTTGAAAGAAATAAATCCCAAGTAAGAAGTACCACCCAGTCCACAGAAAGAAAGTGAATAATTTTGCCCTAACATAACTAGATCTCAATAGTCGACTCGAACAATTAATCAATCAACCAGCTATCAATCCCAAATAAAGTTGGGATCAGTTATATGAATCCTATGTAACTATTCAGATCTATCCGAGCCAAATTCATTCACATACTACTGTTAAGGTTATTGTAAATATACCTAATGAGTAAATATCCTGTACACCTACAATATCCTTAACAAATACTTTGCTTCTATATAATTTATTTTTAAAGGCTAATAAGGGGATTGCTAAAACTAAGTTCTCTAAACCTCATGCTTATCTTAATATTGACATACAAGTCTCTAACCAAACTAAGAATATTCCTGGAAAATACCTGACAGCAACAATAACCTGGATTTAATCCCAACTAGTTGGTATTGATAATATCAATCCTTTGCCTCCATTGTGCTTCTTTGAATAGATATAGCACACATACTGAACCGGTGTGTATATGAAGGTCTACATAGGACATGATCAACCCATCTCCGGCAACCTGCTCTTATTTATCCTCTATGGGTGCTGCTTGCACCCTCTGTGAGATGTATATTTTGTGGTCTTGTTCAGTCCTGACCGCAAATTTACAAATATCTACTTATAATTCAAATGTTTTTGTAACTCCAGTAAATATTTATGATAAATATAAATATTATCATTGATAACATGAGGAAGTTCTGGAAAACTTCGAATTTTGTCAACCCAAGAAACAAAGATCTCTTTGATATTAACAGAAGTTTTATAGAACATGCATCATGTCTTGATTCCAGTAGTTCGCTTTATTCAAAGACCTTAACTAACCTGAAGGCATCTATAAACAACTACGTTTACATCGTCGTGATTAAATATTGATTAGGGTTTTTGGTACTTTTAGTTCATGTGACATTTAGGCGCTACTTTCCAAAGGTGATGCTTAACAACTACGTTTACATCGTCGTGATTAAATATTGATTAGGGTTTTTGGTACTTTTAGTTCATGTGACATTTAGGCGCTACTTTCCAAAGGTGATGCTTTTCATCCATATTTTTTTTACTGATGACACCTTAAGGAAAGGAGAGAGTAGTAAAAGCCCTCAGGAACTTGGAACTCTAGAATAAATATAGTTTTAAGTTGCATTAGCAGCGTCTTATCCACATTAGCAAGCATAAGAAATAAGTCAGCAGTTAACAAATCTCCCAATAACATCTAGCACAAAGATCATTTGTTTATAGGCTAAGAACAATACTTAACACACATATGCTTGAATGGTATCCCCACTTTTACTATGTAAAATATACATTTCCATATTCCAGGTATATTCTCTATTTGCCTTCGCCGATATCCTTTTTTCGTGGTGAGGAATAAGGATTGCCGTACCTTCATGATCTAATACAGATAAACGGACATCAGCAGTAAGCAAACCAACCTGTTATTCAGCATGCGTGGAATTTAAATAATACTATTACCTCAGCTTTACCATTGCCAAGTAACTTTGTCAGTTTTCCAGACCAATAACAGTCAGCAGTCCACCAATCAACTAAATCGCCTGCCTTCCAAGTACCATCAGTAACTATAGTTACATCAGAAGTAGAGCTAACATCGGACACTTGGCTTTTAAGGTGGGTTGGAGGATACTCTGGGCGCAGTATCAGTTGCCTTATCTCCTTCGACTTCCCACTTTGATATGGGGGCACTTGATATAGCTCTGTCCATGTCAATTCTATAATGACGATAAAAATCGAAAAGAGTAAGAGTTAGTTTGATGTACATACAAAGCAACAGTGGGTCCAAATACCCCAAGTTTCTCAATACACTCACTAATCAAGAATGGTTCTGAAGAATAACTAATCGACATGTTAGGTGACCCATACAAAATGCTTATCATCCAACCACTGAGCTCAATAAAGAAGAGAGAAGAAATGATCAGGGCTACAGCTAGCTTTCTCCATTTGGTATCATAATGGTAGGCATATCCAAAACTAGCTGAATTTCGAGTTGAAAGTTAATGTAACCTTTTCTTTGGTAGGAGAAAGTTAATGTATCCACAACTAGGGAGTTTGTAATAAAATAAAATAAAAAGTAAAATGCTGGAATGGAGATAATCATGAGAATATAATAAAAATGCGACCTCGTACAACATTTATAACAAACATTTGTGAAGGATTAAATAGGAGGCAAAGAAGATGATGAGAATTTGGATTTGCACTTCAGTATTTCAGGGAAACGAAACACACCAGTGTACATGCTCATTGATATAAATATCGGCATATATTGACTAATAATGCCACCAAAACAAGCATTAATGAACAAATGCTAAGAAGAAAATTGCATAGATTCTGATGCATTAACAAAAAAAGGTACTAGCTGAAGTAGTTCAATGACAAGGCAAAAGGGGCAGCATGATGTCATTCTTCCTGAGAAACACTAAAAGGTACTTAAAAGATAGATCCAGCAAACTAGGATGTAGAATTTCTGCTCGTTTATTCTAGTCTAGATCAATAAACCGGCTTTCAAGAATCAAAAACATGAATAAAAGAACTTATACTAATACATTAAACCAGTTTTCTGTGGTTGCATATATTTCATGTCTACTTCTGAGTACCTGCCAAATAGGCAAGGTTCTCGAAGGAGGATAAGCATTTACAACTGAAGCTTACAGCTTTGAGATGTTAGTATCTTATATAAATTTTCACAACATTATTTTGTACACGTATTTAGCAACTACATAGATGGCATTAGATGGTAGTCTCTGCACATCTTCTTACTGCATTGACATTTAGAATTCAGACGACCAAAAAAGCAACTTAACCTGTAAATCAAGCAATGCACCCACAGAATTTAAGCATCCAGATTGTAAGGCATGAAAGCCTTCAGTTAATTAGCACCAATTGATTAACCAGAACATCCCAGAGAACATACTTTCATCTGGATAGTCGAAGTATTCCAATAAGGCCTTCCAATGCCCTCCTCTGCAGCTTATCTCCTTTATCTGATATCATATACATACAAGAAAAATATAACTGCATTACATCTACTTCTTTATCAATAAAAGTCTTTTGTCTAGCAAAAAAGCAAAGCATCAAAAGTAGGCTCTCAATAAAGCAAAGTTCTGAGTTGGAGGACTTTAAATATGCTTATACTTTAGAGTAGGCATGAGCAGCAAGTTTAAGAACTCTCGCTGCACTTTCATTCATGTCATAATCCAGCATACTATACTTCAGCCACAATTCAAACAGAATACGCCATCTACTAAAAGAATAGTGCAAGTTAAAATACAACCATTTGAATTTTCATCTCAAAAGTGAGTCAAGAATGAAATATAATCTTGTGCCACATTGACTTAGTTAATATCTAGTTATAATCTAGTTATTTGTTCAAAATAACTAGATATTAACTAGGAATAATAGATATTTTTGAAACATTTAAAGTGAGCCCATCCAATATGCTTAGTATTCAAATACTATAGTTTGCAGGATTGAAGCCCATGCTAACATCCAGCGTATTTTGTACCTTACACCGAAACCATGCACCACGATATCCAACCTCGAAAGACCTTGCTTCAGCTGATTGCCCTGCCTTGAAAGGTAATTGATACCTCTGGTCCATGATATCTTTACCAAATAAGCAGTTATATCAATCACCGATTATGCAAAGTTGCATGTAAATTGTAGACGATCATAGCCATATATTAAAATAGTGACAATAAGAACCAATACGTCAACAGTGTCTGAGACTGAGCACAGTATTATAATTCATAATCAACTGAATCATCAGAAAAAATTGGTCCAAAGCACATGTTTTCAGAAAAGTTAACTCTGAGAGTTCCCCACACAAGCATGGGCACACAATTGTGGGGTAGGGGGGAGCTTTACCCCAGGTCTTCCACAAATCGACTTTGCCACTTTGAAGGTTGAAGTAGAACGTGACCAAATCATCTCAAGCGACCTCTCATTTTATCCTTAATGTGCTACTTGCAGTTTCAGTTGAATATGATTTTTCTAATCTTGTACGAACATACATCCATTTTAGCATGCCTGTCTCAATGACACTCATATTGTGAATTTGGGATCGGCTATATTAATCCTCAGTGACCACATTACTCATTTAAACTCACCTCATACCGATATTATGTAAAATACAAAAAAAAGGGACTAAGCTAGCGTTTGGCCATAGATCCCAAATTTATTTTGAAAAATCTGATTTGGGTGAAATTTGGTTTGAAGATGAAAATGTGTTTGGACATACGTTTTTAAAACATATTTTTCAACTTTATTTTTGAAAAACATGTATATAATTCCCAAGTTTTGGGATTTTGGCCCAAAATCAGCTCAATTTGAGATTTGAGATTTGGGATTTGGCCAAAATATGGGCAAAATTTATGGCCAAACATGAGTTTTGAAAATAAATCCCAAATTTATTTTGGCAAAACTCATGGCCAAACGAGGCCTAAAAGTTCTGTATATTTTCCAAATATACAAATCTCTAAAAGGCTAAACCGCTCCTAGAAAGGATAGGACCTATAGAACAAGTGCTAACGTCTAAAATATATTCTCAACCAATATTTATCATCTATATAAATCTTTTTCTTTGCCATATTTCTTACTATGTCGGCATGGATACCCAAAATTGTAGGTACTTCGAGACAACTTCCTTCTACGTGATTTTGGTCTACTTCTCTTTCTCTTCTTTTTTATCTTAGGTCTGCCTTGTCCTTTTTGAACACCTTCACTATCATGGTTTCACATCTATGGCCGATGCATCTAGAGGTCAGACGCATGACATGACTAAACCAATTCAAGCGACCTATTATAATCCCCAATGTGTGTTGCTTGAACCTTCTTGCGGATCATTTCTAATCCCGTATGATCACATATCCATCTTAGTATCCGCATCTCTACAATATTCATCTTTTGGATGCGATGAATTTTGGCGGCCCAACATTTACTCTTATATAGCAGTGCTGGCCTAATAACGGTTCTATAGAACTCACCGCACACTTTAGTAGGCATCTTTCTATCACGTAACACCCCTTTAGCACTTTTTCCTTTCACCATTCGATTGTGACCTTATGGGTAACATCTTCATCAATAATTCCATTCTCCTGGAATAACGAGCCTAAATATCTAAATTATCTGCATGTAGGCACTATAATCCCATTAATTTCACCCCAATTTCACTCTTCTTATATTGACTAAATTTGTAGTGCATACATTCAGTCTTACCTCTACCGAGAATGTTTCTCCATAGTTCAAGCATCTGGGTGACATCCTTTGTTTTCGTCAATTAGCACAATATTGTCAGCAAATAGTTTACACCATGGGACCCCATCTTGTATTGTATTGGTCAGCTCATCCATAACCAGGGTACACAAGTACATGCTAAACGTCAATCCTTAGTACAAACCATAGTTATGAAAAACTCCTTTATATGTCTTACTATTGTTCTCACACTAGTGAAGGCTCCTTATCAATATGAATTCATTTCTTTTCCAACACCCATCAAAAGGACTTTTCTTATTACTTTATCATATGCCTTTTCTCTTTACCAAAACAAATATCATATGCCTTTTCTAGGTAAATGAACTCTATGTGCAGATCTTTCTTCATGTTGCAATAAATATCCATCAATCTTCTAAGCAAAAATATACCTTCGTAGTAGATATAAAACCAAATTGGTTCTTCATCACTCTTGTAATGTCCCTAAGTCTAGGCTTAATCACTTTTTTCAAGAGTCTACACAACTTTGAATATCTCCTTTGCTCTAACACATTGAGATCGTGGTATTATTTCTCCCCAGTCAAATTTCCTACCACATCTTAGTATATCTTTAAATAACTTGGTAAGCCATCCTACTCCAAGTTCTCCCAAAAACTTTCAAACATCTATGACGATACTATATCGACACAGGCTTTTGTAACTCTCATATTTCACAAGGCATATTTAACTCTGTAGTGTAATTCCACAAGTGTAGCTAAAGTTCCTACTATGCACATATGTATTTTGGAGATCCATAAAGTCATTTTTGTGATTCAAGTTATACACACTTGAATTATATACATAAGATGGAAAAAAGAGAGTATTTTGAAATAAAACATTTTGTCCCTCTTCATCCCGAAAAGGATGACGAGATTCAAAACATAAAAGTCAAACCAAATAGTATTCAGTTTGAATTTGGACATTCATTTCCTACTTCTTAGTGAGCCAGGGTCTTTCGGAAACAGTCTCTCTACTCCTTCGGGGTAGGGGTAAGGTCTGCGTACACACTACCCTCCCCAGACCTCACTAGTGGGATTTCACTGGGTCGTTGTTGTTGTTGTATTTCCTACTTCTTAAAAACAAATTTATATCTTTAAAAATGAGACGAAATGAGACAAAAAGCTCTACATATCACGACTTTTCTAGTTAAAAATATATGAAAATTTGTACTCCCCTATTCAAAAATTAATAACATTATTTCTTTATTCGTTCCACAAGGAATTACACCTTTCTAAATTTATAAATAATCTCACTTTGAACTTTTCATTTTACGTCTAATGAAAAGTTTTTATAGTAAAACAAATGTTATGGCATGTTTAATCATAAGTTGCAAAAATCTTATAGCAACACAACGTTATGATATATTTAAGACCACAAATTTCAAAAGTATTCATTTCTTTCTTAAATTATGTATACAATCAAACTACATCAAAGTCAAAACAATTTCCATGCTTTATAACTAGGTTTTGACCATTAAGTAGGCGTTTGGCCATAAGTTTGGGAAGTTTTTTTTCAAAAAAAAAAATCAAATATGTGTTCGTTTATATTGATAAATGTAATTTTTGGGAGATTTTGAAAAACCAAAATTTCAAATCTCAAATATAGCTTAAGACATCTTTCTTGGGCCAAAATGACCATGTGAGACATTTTAGTTAGAAAAAGGGACTTTTTAATATGTCAAAACTTATCCTAAAATTCATGTCCAAACATATTTTCAATTTCAAATCAAACTTCGCACAAATCAGCTTTCTTAAAAAATATTTGAAAATTTTAAGAACATTACATACTATTCTAGAATATTGAAAATCAAGTACAAAAAGAATTCAAAAGGTAGAATAAGATGAAGGAGATGAAAAAGATGAATGAATCCAACTACATACCTTGGATATGCAACAACAAACTCAAGGAACCCAATCAAGTTTGATAGAAAATTTGGATCTTATATAGGCAGCCAAAATGTTTGACCATTGGGAGAGAAACCCTAAACAAAATTTTTATTTCCTACAGTGCCCTTTTATAAACTTAAAGGCCCAAGCCCAACATTTCTAGTAGGGCAGTGAACAATAAAGCTGCCACGTGTTTTTTCAATTACTCACTCACTTTAATAGTTTGACTCGTAGAAAAATAAATTGAAATTTTTGATCTTAAAAGCTTAAGAGATAAAAGCTTTGTGGCTCAAAACATTTGTGTGGTTATAAAAACTTCTTAATTTTCTTATTAAGAATAAAATGGGTAAAATGAAGAGATTAAAGTTACAATTATTTCTAAATTTAGAAATGTGTCATTTATTTGGAACAAACTAAAAAGAAAAGTAACTCATCTAATTTGAACATCTAATCTGAAACGGAGGAAGTAATATAAGTTGCTCTTCATTGTTTGTATTGTACCACCCATACTTGAATTTCTGAGCAAATTGCAGTGACAATTCTTAGGCCCCGTTTGGCCATGAGTTTTGCCAAAATAAATTTGAGATTTATTTTCAAAACTCGTGTTTGGCCATAAATTTTGCCCATATTTTGGCCAAATCCCAAATCGCAAATTTCAAATCCCAAAATCAGCTATTGAGCTGAATTTGGGCCAAAATCCCAAAACTTGGGAATTATATACATGTTTTTCCAAAATAAAGTTGGAAAATATGTTTTGAAAACGTATGTCCAAACACATTTTCATCTTCAAACCAAACTTCACCCAAATCAGATTTTTCAAAATAAATTTGGGATCTATGGCCAAACGCTAGCTTAGGGTGTAACGAATTGCTTCGTAAATTTTGTTGGAGAATAGATACGAAGCTGAACTTCTCTTCTAAGAGTGAAACCATATTCTTATAGAGCGGTTTCTTTTGTTCCTCAGCCATTTGGAAGTATGGGAATCTCAGAGGAATATATCCAGAGGAATAATTAGTAGGCGTTTGGACATAAGAATTGTAAAATTCGAAAAAATTGTAAAAAAAAATTTTAAGTGAAAATGGTATTTGAAATTTAGAGTCGTGTTTGGACATAAATTTCAGTTTGGGTTGTTTTTAAAGTTTTATAAGTGATTTGAGTGAAAATTTTGAAAAACAGTTTTTTGCAATTTTTCAAATTTTCGAGAATTTCCAAAATGTATTTCAAGTGAAAATTGAAAATTTTATGAACAAACGCTGATTTTGAAAAAAAATAAATTATTTTTTAAAAATCTTCCATCAAATTTTATGTCCAAACGGGCACTTAGAGCCAATTTGGCCATGAAACTTTCTTCACTTTTTTTCGAAAAATCTTTACTTTTTTTTTTCAAAAATCAGTGTTTGGCTTGAATTTTTAATCAGTTGAAGATGAATTTTTTTGAAAACTTTGTTTTTCAAAATTTTCACTTAAATTACTCACAAGAATTCAAAAGCAACCCAAAATTATATTCATGTCCGAACACAATTCTAATTTTCATATACCATTTTACTTGAAAACAAAATTCACTTTTTTTTGAAATTTTACAATTCTTATGTCCAAACACCCACTTAGTTGGCAAAGTTTTTTGGTTTTGCTAAAATTGAGATCCTATATTTCCCTTAGTTTCAATTTACGTTAATTTATTTTCTTTTTGCATGTCAAAAGGATGACCATTTTTTATATTTGAAAATAATTTACCTTTTATGCATGATTTATAGCAACACAAAATATGATTTATAGCTTTATTTATCACAAATTTAAAATATTTTCTTTTTTTCTTAAATCTTATATCCAATCAAATAGGTACACGTAACTTAAAATAAAGGAAGTAACTATTTTTCTTCCAAAGCTTTTAATCAATCAGTACAGTACAAAGTACAAAGGCCCTAATCTGAGATTGCTCTATCATGGTAATGTACTCCTTTTGTCTCGATTTATGTATCACATATTTTGTACTCTTAGTCTGTCTCAAGAAAAATAATATATTTTTATATTTAAAATAATTTAATTTTAAACTATGTTATTTATTTTATTTTTAATGAGAATTTTTATATTCACCAAATATTATGACCTCACAACATTTTTAGCTTGGTTTTAAGATCACAAATTTTAAAATTATTTTTCTTAAATTTCGTGTCAATCAAATTAAGTCATATAAATTAAAACTTTTTAGTGATATTTTTAATTCTAATTTATGTGACATATTTTCCTAGCTTTTTTAAGTAAAATATTAATTGTTTCATTTTATTTTATAATAGGGTTTTGAATAAGCACGAAAAATTAAAAGAAAAATATAATTGAATCAAATTCTAAAGTTAACCAATATTAATGGAAATTATCAAGTACTTGATCTGTAAACAATAGCTGCTTCAATCAATCCACTAGAAAGGATAATGTCTTTTGGGAGCAAATTAATAATGGTTGTTTGCCATCAAAATCTGTATGCATTTTTCATCACACAAATTAATAATGGATGATATTAGTAAAATTTGCTACTCAAGTCCAGAAAACTACTCATCACATCTTCTTTAACCGCACAAATTGCAAAATTATTCTGGTAAAATATTACAAATTTCTCTACTCCTAGCTGGAAACAGTCCCCAACAGGGACGGATGCTAATTTATATTATCGGGTTCATCTAAACTAAGTACTTTCAATATAGATTATAGATTAATGTATAAAATTCATTAAAATTACAATACATAACATTTATGAACACCGCCTATGAAAAAATTTACATTAAAAATTATTTGAATATCTCGAAAAGAAATACTTTACAAATTAAATACAGATGGAGTCTACAAAGCAATAACAAAGATTAACCACCAAAGGATGTGGTGCAGCGGATGGGCTGCTCTTCCTTTAATCAGAGGTCTCGGGTTCGAGCCTTGGTATGGAAAAATCCTTGTGTTTACCCTCAAAAATCGGATAACAATTGAATTTGTAAGTGGTTTTAAGGATATGCGGATTAACTTGACACAAAGCAATAAATTAAGTTGCAATTGAAATAAACAATGATAAAGTAAATTCAAATCACACGAATTGAACAGTTACAGTCTTAGGAGGTTAGTCACCCTCAAACTGGATGCACTTCGATCAGTATCAAGATATTGGAGAATAAGAGCTTAAAGAGAGAAATAACAATGTATTGCTTTGGAATGTGTGTTAACATGTGCTAAATGAATTATCAGACCCCCTTTAATTAGTAGAGGAGTTCTACTTTAGGTACAATTCTATAAAAGGTAAAAAATCTCTTGATTTGCTGATTGTCGGTTCCTTATTGATAAGTGCCGAGATTTTCGCCGTAATATCCGACCGATCACGGATATTTCGGTCTTCTGTTGGCTATGCTAACAGTGTTGCTTCGAGCTCGTTCGGGGCTAGGATCGATTCCGGGATCACGGCTTCGATATTCTCGAAGGCAGGTGCTCTGACTTCGGGTTCTAGCCCGGTGGGACTTGGGGTCGATCTTCAGTCTTTTATTGCCATGTTCCGAGCTTGACCTACCATGCCGTAGGCGAGCTCGATTTCGATCGTATATAGATAGTCCCCCTCTAGATGAATTCAGATACCTCTTGATGACTTTTAATTTGTACTTAGACTAATTTATAGATAATCATAACATTTTTCTTTGTGTCTGTAGGCCTCGGTGCTTCATCATGAAACTTTTCTCCGATATCGGGACGAGCTGAACCATCTTGAGGCCGAGGTTCGAGGGCTCACTGAGAAGAGAGATACTTACAAACTTCTCAGCGAGCAACGTGAAGGGGAGGCTAAGAGCCTCCGAGCTGAGCTAGAGGTGGCTCAGAAGGAGCACACCGACCTGGTCGAGCAGGTAAAAATATTTGAGGTTAGTGACGATGAGCTAGACTCGGTGACTAATGGTCGAAATCCACAAGTCCAACAGAAGATCGATCGGATTGACCAGCTCCGAGCTGAGATAGATGTTGTCAAGGCCGAGACTGACGAATGGAGAGGTAGGATGGACCGCCTGGCCTCGGAAAGGAGACTGCTCGGGCGCAGCTGATTTCGACTGAGGTCCAGCTTCGGGCGGCAAAGGAAAAGGCTGAGGTGCAAGCCAAAAAGGTCTAGGAGCTCCAGTCTCAGCTAAGTTCGGTCGTCTCTGATCGAGAAACTCTAGCCAAGGAGCTTGAAACGACCAAGTTGGTGGCCATGGTGGTTGAAGCCGATTCCGATGAGATGGTGTCCCAATCTAAGGCCGATACCGAGGCGGCCAGGATCGAACGAATGATATCGTCGAGCACGTGAAGCGACAATCCCGAAGGGAGGCCCTTGAGGAAATTCATGCTCGGGGTTTCAACTTGTCGGACAAAATTGAGAGTGTCAAGGAGCTTGAAGTCGATGCCAAGAAGTTAGCTTATCCGAGGATGAAGAAGACTCCAAGGGTTCTAGCGGGTCTGAGGGTGGAGGAGACCCCGAAGACCCTGGCAACGAGGCGGGCTCCGGTAAAGACCAGTCTATTTAAGTGCCTTGTACATGTTTCTTTGTTTTTTGTATCTTTGTACTTGTGTACTTTTGTACTTTTTTTCAAGGTCGTTTGGCCTTTGTAAAGACTATATGTATATATAATACAAGGCTTCTTTTTTCCCTTCGACAATCTCTGATTTTTGTTTTCCTTTACTTTATTATTTATATTTACAAGGATCGAAATGCCTTAGCATGAAATAGTTAGGTCATGTTCGGAGGTTCGAACAGGCTTTTCCTTTGATATTATTTTGTTTAAGGCATCATGGGGGTCCAGTATGACGGGAAACTTTTTACCAAAATACTTATAATTTTTTAGATTATAGTTTGTCGAGGGTAGCCTTTAGAACCGGTTAAGAAATTTTGAAGGCCTTGTTTTTTGTTACAGGTCTCGGACGTATCCGAGCCGTTTTAATATAGCCGTAGCCTTTTTAGTTCGGGTGTTGCCCAGTGGGTTTGTTACCCCGAGTTATCCGGGCTTGCCTAAGATAACAGTTCCCGAATAGGGATGGCCGTAGCCTTTAAGGTTCGGGCGCTGCCTAATAGGTCTTGTGCCCCCGGGCTCTGATAGCCCAGGCCGCCCGAGTTTGTCTTCGGATGGCAGTCCCCGTGTGGGAGTGATCGTTTGAACTCGGATTAAGGCAACCCTTGGGCTCGATACCTTTAGGGGATCGAATGTAGGAAATTTCTTAAGAAAAAAAATTAAGGGACAAGATATTTATGCACGAGGTAGAGACTTCTTTTTATTCTTGTGCGTAATAGTTACACATGTGTACAAGCTTTATGGCAACGCTCGAGCAATCTATGCGGGCATGGTTCATTTGACCATTTGGACCTTATAGTAAATCCTATGGGTCGAGCCGAGACCATTCAATCACAAAATTTCTTTCCTTGATAAAGTCGTTATCCGAGGGCAATTCCCCCTAATGTTCGAGGCCAATCATAGAGAGGCCTCAAATACTGTTGTCGTGATCTTCGATAACAGTTCGTAACCGGCCTTCAATTCTAAATTAGCACGATTTACTATTGCCTCGTTAAATAATTTGCCGAAAAACCCATTTGGGACAAAAACGGTCCAAAGGAAAAAGAGTGCAACGCGTGCTTTCAGGCCTAAAAATTGTATCGTTCTTTGATGGTTGCCTGCAAGTGTTAGTTCGAAATGCAAATAAGTAAAAGGAACAAATGGGGTCAACCTTAGCAGTAGTATCGCTTCAAGTTATTTACGTTCTAGTTGTTCGGTAGTCGTTCACCGTTCATTGCTCCGAGTTTGTACGGTCCCTTTCCAGTGATCTCGATAATTTGATATGGTCCTTCCTAGTTCGGCCCCAGCTTCCCTTCGTTCTAATTCCGGGTGCTTAGTGTGATCTTCCTTAATACTAAGTCCTCGATATTGAAGTGTCGAAGGTTGACCCTTCGGTTGTAATATCTCTCGATCCGCTGTTTTTGGACGGCCAACCGGACAAGGGCAGCCTCGCGCCTTTCGTCTAATAGCCTCACACTCGTATTCATGGCCTCATCGTTTGATTCCTTGGTTGCGTATTGGAACCTGAGACTTGGTTCTCCAACTTCGACCGGTATTAGGACTTCAGCCCCGTAAACCAGGGAGAACGGGGTGGCCCCAGTACTGGACTTCAAGGTCGTATGGTATGCCCATAAGACTTCGGGCAGGATTTTCTTCCATTTTCCTTTGGCGTCGGTTAACCTCTTTTTGAGGTTTTGGAGTATAGTTTGTTGGTCGATTTTGCTTGTCGGTTCCCTCTAGGATGAAAGGGTGTTTGATCTTATGGTTTTCGAGAAACTTGCTTACTTTGCTGCCGATGAATTGTTTCCCGTTGTCGTACAAGATCTCGGCCGGCATTCCAAACCAGCATATGATGTGGTCCCAAATGAAATCGATGACTTCCTTCTCCCTGACCTTCTCGTATGCTTAGGCTTCCACCCACTTAGAAAAATAGTCAGTCATAAACAATATAAATTGAGCCTTATCGGGTGCCCACGGAAGGGGGCCAACGATACCCATTAACCACTTCATAAACGACCATGGTGACAAAATCGAATGCAGCAGCACCCCGGGTTGATGAATCATCGGAGCATGTCTTTGACATTCATCACATTTTTGTACGATCTCATTCGCGTCCTTTTCCATATCGGTCCAGTAGTAGTCGACTCTGATTATTTTTCGAACCAATGATTCGGCACCTGAATGATTTCCACAGGTGCCTTCGTGGATTTCCCTCAGAACGTATTCGATATCTCCCGGTCCTAGACATATCGCGAGCGGGCCACCGAATGTTCTTCTGAACAGGGTTCCGTCTTCGGACAAACTAAACCGGACTGCCTTCATACGCAGGGCCCTCGATTCTTTTGGATCCAAGGGCAGTTTTTCGGTGTTCAGATATTCAATATATTTGTTTCTCCAGTCCCAAGTTAGGCTCGTTGAGTTTATCTCGGCATGACCTTCTTCCACTATCGATCTCATGAGTTGTACGACTGACCTCGAGTTGAACTCGTCGTCCTCGACCGACGATTATAAGTTAGCAAGGGCATCGGCCTCACTGTTTTGATCCTGAGGTACGTGTTGCAAAGTCCACTCCTTGAACCGATGTATGTTACTTGCAACTTATCCAGGTACCTTTGGATTTCGTTCTTCTCTGACCTCGAACGTCCCATTAACTTGGTTCACCATAAAGAGGGAGTCGCACTTAGCTTCGATCACCTCTGCCCCAAGCTTTTGGCTAGTTCGAGGCCTGCAATCATGGCCTCATATTCGGCCTCGTTGTTAGTCAATTTCATAGTCCTAATAGATTGTCTAACTATATTGCCTGTTGGTGGCTTCAATACGATTCCAAGTCCGGACACTTTTGCGTTCGAGGCACCGTCCGTAAAGAGGGTCTCCCCGAAGACGTCCCCGAGTCGACAAACAACTCTCTTTCGACCTCTGGTATTAGGTCCGGCGTAAAGTCGGCTACGAAGTCTGCCAAAATTTGAGATTTAATGGCGATCCGGGGTCGATATTCAATAACGTACCCGCTGATCTCCACGGCCCATTTGGCCAATCGTCCCGAGAGCTCGAGTTTATGCATTGTATTTCGCAATGGGTAAGTAGTCACAACACATACAGGATGACATTGAAAATATGGTTTCAACTTCCTAGAGGCGCTTAGGAAAGCGAGCCCCAATTTTTCTAGGTGAGGGTACCTAGTTTCTGCCTCACCTAGAGTCCTGTTAACATAGTAAATTGAAAATTGCGTACCTTGCTCTTTCCGGACCAGGACTCCACTTACCGCTATCTTCGATACTGCCAAGTACAGGTGTAACACCAAGAATTTTGTAAATAAATTATGTATATTTAGGTGATCTTTTTTTTATTGCTAATATTTTATCACTTTTCTTAAATTTAATTATTCTACTTTATTTTATTCAAAGGGGGGGGGGGGGTAAAAAAAGACTTACTATATCCTATTGGATCCCTTAGATCTATTTTTGACCCATTTGATAAAGAATAATATCTAGCTTCTGTCCACTTGGGAGATAAACCCTTTATATTAGCAAAATCTCTTTCTCTCTCTTATAAGACATTTTCTTCTTCTTCATTGTTCTAGGACTTTATTGGAAAACTCTCAATCCACACAAGTTTCATTCTCCCACTACCATCAAGATCACATTTGTCTACATAAAAGTTTTAATCATTATCTTTTGAATATATGTTGGAATGTTATCTTCAAGAATCAAGATGGGTTAAGCTTATTTGAAACCCCAGGTTTGGATTTATGGAGGAACTCTCTCAAACTTGTGGTCAGCTTCTTGTTTAATATATATTTGGTGAAATTATTAAGTTTGTTGTTAGAGAATTTGAGATTTTGAAAGTAAGAGATTCAATCCCGTTTTTGAACGGGGCAACAGTTAGTATTTTGAGCATAACTTTTTCTCTAAAACTCGGATTGTAGTGATTCAAAATTCTGCAGAAAGATAAGACATAGATCTACAATTGTTATGCAGATCAAAATAGTCAGTTCTGCTGTCTACTATGTCAAAAGAGGGCTGAAATACATGACAGAGTTGCTGCCAGATTTTTAGTAAAATAGTTGTGACCCATTTAGTCTCCCTTTTTGATATTCATCACGATTTGATTTAAACATCTTTAAATTTCAGACCTTAAGTGAGTGTTGATTACGTATTTAAGATACAAGAGATATTTGTTCAAGCTAAGGAGCACACCTTAGGAAAATTGCTCTTTTCTTGGCTTAGAAAATCTTAAATCCCTTGATGTCGTTTGAGCTTTAGAAATACTAAAGCTCCAAGATTTGCACGTAAAATTAAGTGATTCTTTCAATTTAATTTGTTTAGATATTATAAGTGGTTAAGGTTTGGTGAAATTTAGGTAAAATTTATTGTCATATTGACTTGGTTGCTACTTTACTAGTTTACTTGCTTTGTTGCTTGAGAAGGAATATCTTGAGGCATTTTGATTTATTAGTGGTCATTGAAGGTATAATTTCGTAATTGAGTTATGAATATGTTAAAAATCATATGGAGTGTCATGTGAACTATTTTTGAAAGACAATTTAGCTCGCCCACATATACGGATTGCTTGAGCATCATTGCATTCTTGCTGGGATTTTATCCTTCTTGTGATAGTGACTTTGTCACTTTTATTGGCATGCCTTTTGCTTGGATCTTGACCCATCTTGACTTTGGATTCAACTCCATCCTAATCATGGACTTTGTCCATTTTAAGTATGGATGGGAAAGCCACTTTCAATATGGCTCTTGATTCTCTTGATAATTAGGTGACGACCCTACTTGATTTAGGACTCCGATCCTTCTTGTTACTTGATTATGTTTTGATGTAATTGCATGACTCATATGTTGGGCGAATCAACTAATCGGTGGACTTTTTTGGATATTAGTTGAAAATCTTCTTGACGTTTGAGATTATGAATAATAGTACTATTTTATGATTTGATATTTAGCCCTCTTGAGATGATTGTACCTTCATTAAGTACTTGATGTTGATTTTAATAAGCTCGTATCTAGAATTTATTCCTTGTATTCATTCCATGGTTTACCTTTATTTTATTATGAAATGTTAGTTAAGTTTATGTGCCACTAAGCTTTATGCTTATAGTTTGTTACTATCGTAGGTGATGTGCCGGGAGATGTCTGAGGATATCATTTGAAGTAGACTCTTTGGAAGATTAGATGAAGATCACACTTGCATAGGCATATGTAATTTTTTGTTTGTAAACTTTTGGGAACTTGTACATGATCCATAAGATACACTTAGATATGCACTCTGAATGATTATTTGGTCATGACACTATTATCTTGGTAACTTAATTTTGGTGATTGATTTGACTATTTTGTGGGTGTTTATGCCCAAGTCTTGTAATTAATTGAATTTGGTACTTAAATTGAACTTGGGAGATTATTTTTGAAGATTTAACTAGCTTTTATATGATTGAGAGCTGAACTTTATGCTTAGTTTGAGTCTTGAATGGTGTATGAAAAAGATATTCTTCTACTAGGTATTTGGTAAATTTTAAAGTATTAATTTAACTTAAATAGATGTTGCCGTTTTTTTAATAGTTGTATCTTGAAATTTTAAAGAGATTTTTATGAGATTTTTCTAAGTTGAGATATTGTATGTTGAAATTTATTCATGTGCACATTTTCTTTTTCTTATTTTGCTAGTTTATTTTATTAAAAGACTATTTAAATTTATAAGTATTATATTAGTTTTTATAAGTGGCATCCCAATAAGGGGTTGCTACAACAGGTATAGTTGTTCGTTTATCTTTAGCGTGTGAAGCAGCGGTGGGCATAATAGATACCGCTTGAGTTCCTCCAAGGCCCGTTGGCACTCCAGGGTCCATGAGAAGTTATTCTTCTTCTTTTTCTTCAGTAGTGAGAAGAATCAGTGGCTCTTATCGGAAGACCTCGAGATGAATCGCCCCAGGGCGGCTATGCATCCGGTTAATCTTTGCACGACCTTCACGTTGTCCACAATCGTGATATCTTCGATGGCTTTGATCTTGTCGGGGTTGAGCTCGATTCAACGATTGATCTGAGGAATTTACTTGATCCGACTCCAAACGCACATTTCTCCGGGTTCAGCTTCATATTGTACTTCTTCAATATGTTGAAAGTTTCCTGCAAATGTTTTAAATGGTCATCTGCTCACGGGGACTTAACCAACATATCGTCAATGTAAACCTCCATTGATTTTCCTATTTGTTCCTCGAACATACCGACATTTTTTAATCCGAATGACATCACGTTATAGCAGTATATGCCATACTTAGTGATGAAGGAGGTTTTATTAATGATCACCAGGGTCCATATTTGGTTGTACGCGGAGTACGTCGAGAAAATTGAGGATCTCGTGGCCGGCGTGGCATCAATCATGCGATTGACATAGGGCAAAGGGAAGGAGTCCTTAGGACATTCCTTATTCAAATCCTTATAGTCTAGACATATTCTTAATTTATTCCCCTTTTTAAGGACTACCCCTACGTTTGCTAACTAATCCGGGTATTTAACCTCCAGAATGGACCCTATTTTAAGGAGTTTAGCTACCTCGTCCTTGATGAAAGCATGTTTGACCTTGGACTGGGTTTCCTCTTCTGCTTGACCGGGTATAACTTCGGGTCCAGGCTTAGCTTGTGAATGGTTATCTCCGGCGGAATACCTGTCATATCAAGGTGGGACCAAGTGAAGCAATCTCCGTTAGCTATAAGAAATTGAATTTTTTCCTAAGCTCGGGGATTAACCCCGTGCCCAGGTATACCTTTCGATCGGGCAAGTGTTCGGTTAGTATGACTTGTTCTAGTTCCTCGACCGTTGATTTTGTAGCGCCGGAATCGTCGGGGGCTATGAAAGATCTAGGGCCTCCGTAGTCGTCGTCTACCCCTTGTTCCTTCGACTCTATCGAGGCAAGTATAGGTGATTGCTATATGGTCCCGTCTTTGACCATCCGATTCGGATCCTTCGATGTTGAGAGTGTGGATGTGGGGATCACTTCATCGACCGCGAACATCTCATTGGCGGTCGGTTGTTCTCCATCAATTGTTTTAACTCCTCCGGGTGTTGGTAATTTCAGCACCTGGTACAGCGTCGAGAGTATTGCTCTCATGTTGTGAATCCATGGCCTCCCGAACAGAGCGTTGTATCTCATATCCCCTCCGATTACGTAGAACTTGGCTTCCTGTACGGTTCCAGCGACGTTCACAGGTAATGTTATCTCCCCTTTAGTGGTCTCGCATGCCATGTTGAACCTGTTCAGGACTCGAACCGCAGGTACCATCTGATCTTGTAGGCCGAGTTGCTCCACGACCCTTGATCTGATGATATTGGTTGAGCTACCTGGATCAATTAACACACGCTTAATTCGAGATTTACGAGTACCGATATTACCAGTGCATCATTGTGGGGTTGCACGATCCCCTTAGTGTCTTCGTCGTTGAAAGACAAGGTTCCTTCAGGTACGTAATCCCGAGTCCATTTTTCCCTTGTGATGGATACTTTGGTGCATTTCAGCATCAGACCTTGGGGAATGTCGATTCCACCGATGATCATGTTGATGACGTGCTGAGGCTCTTCCTGCTCGGTCTGCTTATTAAAGTACTTGTTCTTGAAGTGGTTCTTGGCCTGAACACTGAGGAATACTCGGAGATGTCCATTGTTGAATAGCCGGGCCACCTCTTCTCTTAATTGTCGGCAGTCTTCTGTTCTGTGGCCATGAGTGCCGTGATATTTGCACATTAGGTTGGGATCCCTTTGGGCTGGATCGAACTGTAAAGGTCTAGGCCGTTTGGTATCTTTGATGCGTCCGATACCAGATACGATAGCAGCGGTATCGACGTTGAAGTTGTACTCCGATAATCTTGGTGCTTCTTTAGGCCCGACGGGCCTGTCGAAGCTGTTTTTGCTCATGACTCCCGGTTGCTCCGACCTCGATCACTTCTCCTTTAATTTCTTATAGAGTTCCACCTAGACCCACTGCTCTTCGGTCTCTGTTGTACGGCTAATACCGATCCCTGTTTAATCTCGGTTCACGATCGATGTCTCTCTTGACTTGTCGATGGTTCTGTTGGGATACACGGACCCTGAAGGGGCCCCAAGCTGATCATCTTTGACCCTGATTTTTAACTAATACCGGTTATGGACATCGGCCCAAGTGACAGCCGGATATTCTACCAAGTTTAGTTTCAACTGCTGTGAAGCCAATGAGCTCCGAATGTTGAGTCCTTGGGTGAAAGACGGAACTGCCCAATCATCATCGACCGGTGGTAGGTCCATCCGTTCTATTTGAAACCGGGACACGAATTCTCCGAGCATCTCATTATCCTTCTGTTTTACTTTGAAAAGTATAACTTCCTGGTCTCGACCTTAATAGCTCCAGCGTGTGCTTTTACGAAGAAATCAACAAGCATAACAAACGAGTCAATACAATTAGGAGGTAAGTTGTGATACCATATCATAGCTCCCTTTGATAGGGTCTCCTTGAAATTTTTCAACAAGACAAACTCGATCTCATCATCCCCCAAGTCATTCCCTTTGATGGCACATGTGTAGGAGGTTACATGCTCATTTGGGTCGGTCGTTCCGTTGTACTTAGGAATCTCAGGAATGCAGAACTTCTTAGGGATCGGCTTTGGACCCGCGCTTAGAAGAAAAAGTTTTTGCACGAACTTCTTGGAATCCAGGCCTTTCAATCTCGGCGGCACTCTTGGGATTCGGTCGACCCTGGAATTGTAGGTTTCCACCTTTTTGTTATTATCGTCGATTTTCTTCTCCCTTGATTCTACCCGTTTTGTCAATTCCTCAACCATCTTTATGATCTCGGGGTTAGTCCCAGATTCGTTTTCATTCGACCTCTTTGCGACTAGTTCATCCCTGCGGATGACTTCCCGGGATGCATCGGGTTCAATTCTGCTTGGTGTGCAACTTTTGTTTTGTAACTGAACTATCGCCACCTGTTGAGCCTGCAACATTTTGAAGATCATCCGTAAATTGACCCCTTCTCCTCCAATGTTTTATTTATTTTGAGCTACCGATCAGGCTCCACCACGGACGCTATTCCCGGGGTCAGTAGGCAGATTTGTGTCGATAGCCACATGCGAGTTAGCGTCAATCGAGTCCGCGATCGGAATTACGATGGGATCGACTGGCGGTACCCCGCCACTGGGCACTATGTTGTTATTTTTAGCGTGATAGTCAGACTCGCTGTCAACATGTAGGGGTGCTGATTGTGAGTTTTGACATTTTGAGCTTTAACCTGAAATTAGAGGCACTTCAATGAACAAGTGTAAAGTAGTGCGTGTTATGGAAATTTGTATCAAATAACCACTATTATCCTTATCCCCACGGTGGGCACCAAACTAATTACCCTAAAAATCAGATAACAATTGAATTTGTAAGTGGTTTTAAGGATATGCGGATTAACTTGACACAAAGCGATAAATTAAGTTGCAATTGGAATAAACAATGATAAAGTAAATTCAAATCACGCGAATTGAACAGTTACAGTCTTGGGAGGTCAGTCACCCTCGAACTGGATGCACTTCGATCGGTATCAAGATACAGGAGAATAAGAGCTTAAAGAGAGAAATAATAATGTATTGCTTTGGAATATGTGTTAACGTGCGCTAAATGAATTAACAGACCCTCTTTATATAGTAGAGGAGTCATATTTTAGGTACAATTCTATAAAAGATAAAAAATCTCTTGATTTGGTGATTGTCGGTTCCTTATCGATAAGTGTCGAGATTCCTGCCGTAATATCCGATCGGTCACGTATATTTCGGTCTTCTGTTGGCTATGTTAACAATGTTACTTCGAGCTCGTTCGGGGCTAGGATCGATTCCGGGATCACGGCCTTGATATTCTCGAAGGCAGGCGCTCTGACTCCGGGTTCTAGCCCGGTGGGACTTGGGGTCGATCTTCAGTCCTATATTGCCATGTTCCAAGCTTGACCTACCATGCCGTAGGCGAGCTCGATTTCGACCGTATAAACCTTGGTAGGAAGTGCTTCCCCCTGAATGGGGCTCTACGTGCCTCGAATACGAATATAGTCGGGCTCCAATAAGAATATCGAACACCGGGTGGAAAAAAAACACATAGATGACAAGCATATAGGATGCATCTTCAGATAAAAAGTTGCTAGTGCACCTTATAAAAATATAAGGGATAAATATATTAAGAATGCGGTAGTAAATATATCAATTATGCCTCGTGTCTAATGGATTTAATAGCTCAAGTATTTTAGCTGAGGAATTCCAATAGAACGGTTTGTTAAATTAATAATATTGACACTGCTATACATTTACTTGCATCGAACTCAAAACAAGAAAAATTAA